TGTCTGGGAGTGCTGCAGCCACCTGGACGAGGCATAAAGATTAAGATGTGACTGAAGTCTCTTTCTCTCTCTCTCTCTCTCATCAAGAAAAAACAAAAAATAAAAAAGGTTAAGATGTGAGTGAAGTGAGCCTCCTGCGCTTGTTCTCTGGGAGGGCTGAGGGCCTGCCTTGTCCCTTCCACAGGGCCTGTGCCCAGGCGGGACCGTGTGCGTGTGCATGTGTGTGCGTGTGCGTGTGTGTGTGCGCACGCAGTGAGGCGCCTGGCACCCAGTGACACGGGGAGCGTCCACTTCCTGTGTGCCCTGGGTGGAGGCTGTACTGAGGAGGCCCCAGGTGGAAGCAGGTGGCCCGCCCTGTGTGGCCCTTGAGCAGGCCAGGCTGCAGGCAGGCCTCACTGATTTCTCTCCCACAAGACGATAGTGCCCCCCACCCCAGCTCTGGAGGCCCCATGAGTCAGGTGTCCCCAGTTTTGAGGCCATCTGTGGGCGTGTCCCAGGCAGAGGGACTCGGGGACAGCAGAGGACAAGCATCTAAAGGGAGCCCGCCAGGTCACTTAGACTCCCTAGAGCAGTGATGGCGAACCTATGACACGCGTGTCAGAGGTGACATGCGAGCTATTTTCTTGGTTAATTTTTCTTTGTTAAATGGCATTTAAATATATAAAATAAATATCAAAAATAGAAGTCTTTGTCTTACTATGGTTGCAAATACCAAAAAATTTCTATAGGTGACACGGCACCAGAGTTAAGTTAGGGTTTTTCAAAATGCTGACTCGCCAAGCTCAAAAGGTTCGCCATCACTGCCCTATAGCCGTGGTGGGCAAACTGTGGTTCACGAGCCACATGCGGCTCTTTGGCCCCTTGAGTGTGGCTCTTCCTAAGCCTTAGGAGGACCCTAATTAAGTTAATAACAATGTACCTACCTATATAGTTTAAGTTTAAAAAATTTGGCTCTCAAAAGAAATTTCAATCGTAGTGTTGATATTTGGCTCTGTTGACTAATGAGTTTGCCGACCACTGCCCTAGAGCAGTTACCAAGCGGGTCATTTGCTTTGGGGGTCACCACAGGGACTTGTTAGAGCCACCTCATGGACAGGGATGGGAGCCAGGTCCCCACACACAATGGGCTGGGAAGACAGGTGGGGCCAGGCGCCCCTTGGGCAGCGTTTGTGCATCTCGGCCCTGAGTGAGCGCTGGGCACGCGGGCCACGCTAGACGCGAGGTGGGGGAGATGCCTTTATTGCCAGAGCAGACGCTTCACTTGGCCTTGCCCTGGGCAGCCACAGCCTCCATGGCCTTGCGAACGGTCTCCTCGTCGCCCAGGAACCGCATGGGCTTGGTGGGCTTCAGGGCGTGGTCCAGCTCGTACACAATGGGGATCCCCGTGGGCAGGTTCAGCTCCATGATCGCCTGCTCCGACATCCCTGGATGGGAGGAACCAAAGGCCTCAACCTTGCTGGCCTGTCCACCAGCTGCTGACCTTTGCGAGCCACGGCTGGTCGGCCGGCACGGCCTCCCTGCCAACCGCAGGGCTGGAGACATGTGCCTGAGAAGGTCAGAGCAGACCGGAGACGAGGCTACAGAAATAGCCAGCAAAGCCAAGGGCTGTGTCCTGGGCCGGCGCCCGGTCTGGCCCAGTGTGGACTCCGGCCAGATGGCCAGTGCTTGGTTCAGTTGGGACATTAGCCATTCGGTTACGGGGAGTGCTAAGGTGGGGCTTCCCGAGCAGGGGAGCAGGGGTGCTGCTGCCCAACAGGGTGGGCGAGGGACAGCAGGGGGTCCCTGGGGCCGCGGTGGGAAGAGGCTGTGCCAGGCAGAAGGCTGTGTTTTCTGAGGAAACTCGACCCGACTGCCTCCCGCCGGCCCAGCCTGGAATAGCTCGCCCTTTGGTATTTCCACCCCCAGGAAGCGAGGAGTCGAGTTCCCAGCAGTGGAGACCCCAGCATGCTAGCACGAGGGGGCATCGTCTGTCCGCCTGCTGGGCTCGGTGCCCACTGAGGGGTCTGCGGGACCTGGCATCCCGGGCAGGACAGGAGCTGGCCCGGCCTCCGGGCCGGCCTGTCTGCTCTGGCAGCTGCCCACCACCCCCCCTCCCTTCCTCTCTTCTTGATCCCAAACTTGAAGGCCGTCAGAGGCTAACAGACTGTCCCGCTGTCCGAAACTCCTGGAGGGCCAGGTCCTGTCAGGGTCGTTGGCCACGGAAGCCCAGGAGAGCCGCCGTGCGCTTCAGCAGGAGCCTAGCTGTGAGCCGGGGGTCTGCAGGCTGCTGCACAGCTGCACCTTTGGAGTGGTCTCACCTCTGCCTGAGTGGGTGGAGCTGGGGCAGGGGCAGGGCTTTGCCCTGGGCCCACGTCCAGCAGCCAGCAGTACCAGAACAGTGATGGCGAACCTATGACACGCGTGTCAGAGGTGACACGCGAACTCATTGTTTTGGTTGATTATGCATTTAAATATATAAAATAAATATCAAAAATATAAGTCTTTGTTTTACTATGGTTGCAAATATCAAAAAATTTCTATATGTGACACGGCACCAGAGTTAAGTTAGGGTTTTTCAAAATGCTGACACACTGAGCTCAAAAGGTTCGCCGTCACGGCCCCAGAAGGTGGTTGAGGCCCAGCAAGTGACACGACTGAACCAGGGACACACAGCAAAGCAGGGTTTGGAGCCAGACAGCCCTGCTTTTCCTGGGCAAGATGCCAACCCCAGGGCTCACGTCCAGGAAGCTGGGTGGCTCGGGGCCTCAGCCCCTGTGCAGGGCCTGGCCTGGGTCAGAGTGGGAAGCCTTTCCACCTTCAGTCTTTAGAAGGAAACGACACAGTGTCCCAGTACATGCACAGAAATGCAACCAAAATCCTACAAAGCTGTTTGCTACATGGTTTGCCCAACCCTCCCTTTTCAATTCCATTGGAAAGCCCCTCCCTGGCCCTGAGGCCTGCAGAGCTGCCTCAGCCAGGCAGTGGGCACCTGCTGAATGCGAGCTGGGCAGGTTCAGGGCCCGGTGTCACTCTCCCACCCCACCCACGTCCCACGTGAGGTGGGCCTCACCTTCCAGGTGCTTGACGATACCCCGCAGGCTGTTCCCGTGGGCAGCGATGAGCACCCTCTTGCCGGCCTTGATCTGGGGGGCGATCTCCTCATTCCAGAAGGGCAGGGCCCGGGCGATGGTGTCCTTGAGGCTCTCACAGGTGGGCAGTTCCCCAGGCTTCAGGCCTGCGTACCGGCGCTCCTGGGGGTGTCCACAGCACAGTTCACATTCCCAGCAGCCGGCCCCCCACCTGGCCGCCCCTTCCCAAGGCCCCTAACCCCAGGCTTGCCCTCAGGCACCCTGAGTGGCCCACCTTGCTGATGATGCTGTAGTAAGGGTGCTTCTCGTCCATGGGGGGAGGCGGGATGTCGAAGGAGCGCCTCCAGATCTTCACCTGCTCCTCCCCGTGCTTGGCGGCCGTCTCCGCCTTGTTGAGGCCCGTCAGGCCCCCGTAGTGCCGCTCGTTGAGACGCCAGGTGCGCACCACCGGCAGCCACATCTGGTCCGTGCCTTCCAGGATGGTCCAGAGTGTGCGGATGGCCCGCTTCAGCACTGACGTGTAGCAGATGTCAAACTCCATCTTGGCATCCTTGACGGCCTGGGCCCCCCGCCTGGCCTCCTCGGCCCCCTTCTCACTCAGCTCCGCGTCGAACCAGCCGCAGAAGCGGTTCTCCTGGTTCCAGGTGCTCTCGCCATGCCGGACCATCACCAGGCGGTGGGTGGACATGGCTGCGGTGCTGGGGACCGTGGCAGGCTCCCGAGGAGGACAGCTGCCTCTGCCCTGGCACCAGCTTTATAACAGTTCCTCCCCACCCCCACCCGGCCAACTGCCAATCTGCATTCCAAGCCGACAGGCAGCCGCAGGTGGCCAGCAGCAAACTCTCCGACTCTCAGGGGAGGGTGGGCCGAGATGGACTTAAAATAGTTCCACAGCCACTATGTCCAGAGCCCAGGGGGTGTGGGGGCGGACACGGCTGCTGGGCAGGGCTGGGAGTGAAGGACGGAAGCCCTGGCCTGGACCAGCCTGAGGGGTGGGCACAGCAGAAACAAGGTCTCTCCAGGGACCCCTCCCTCCCAGGGGCCTGGCACATGACACAGGCACAAAGTCTCCCCCCGCCCCCTGCCCACCCCGGCTTCCTCCTGTCCCTGCGCACAGCTGGGAGCCCACCCGCATGCTGTGAGGAAGCACCTGGAGTCAAGGGGGGCTGTGCAGGTGTGTGGACTGTGCGTACGTGCCTGTGTGCTGCACTCACGTCTGTGTTGCGTGTGCCTGCATGTGTGCATGGGCCTATGTGTGAATGTACACGTGTGTGGACTGTTGTTTAAGCCCAAACTTTCCTCGTCTTCTGTCTGGATGATCTACCCATGGTGGAGGGGGAGCTCGGAAGTCCTGCTGGTCTGTACCCGTCCTTTCTCCCTCAGGTCTGGTAGTGTGTGGTCACCTATGTCGGTGCCCCTGTGTTATGTTCTCTTGCTGGATTGACCCCTTTATTACGTAACCACCTTCTCTGACCCCTTAGAGACTTTGGATGAAGCCGGTTTTGTCTGATGTAGGTATAGTCCTGCTTCCTTTTGGCTTCCATTTGCATGAAGTATTGTTTTCCATCCCTTCACTTTTAAAGCTGAAGCGAATCTCTCACAGGCAGCACACAGGTGGGTCTTGTTTTTATAATCTATTCAGCTGCTCTGCTATATATATTATTACATATATAAAATTGATTTCAGGGAGAGAGAGGGAGCTAGAAACATCAATGATGAGAATCATTGATTGGCTGTCTACTCACGCCCCACACTGGGGATCGAGCCTGCAACCCAGACATGTGCCCTGAACCAGGAATCAAACTGTGACCTCCTGGTTCATAGGTTGATAGTCAACCACTGAGCCATGTTGGTCGAGCTCTACATCTTTTGATTAGAGAATTTAGCCCATTTACATTTGAAGTAATTATTGCTATTTTATTAATTTCTCCTAGTTGTTTTGTGATTCCTTGGTTTCTTTCTTCGCCTCTTGCTCTCTTCCTGTGACGTATCTTGTTCTGCAGTGGAACACCTGGATTGCGCTGTATGTACCTGTTATAGGTTCTGGCTTTGTAGTTACCATGAGGCTTACATGGAACATCTTATAACAGTCTATTTTAGGTGGAGAACAACTTAACTCTGAACACATACTATATTGATTTTCAGAGAGAGAAACATCAATTTGTTGTTCCACTTATTTATGCTTTCATTGGTTGCTTCTTGTATGTGCCCTGACCAGGGATTGAACCTACAATTTGGTGTATTGGGACAATGCTCTAACCAACTGAGCTACCTGGCCAGGGCCTATAGTATTCATTTAAAAAAAAGAGGGCATGTAACATGGAGAAGGTGTAGAACTGAGAACTCAATGTTTTGACTTTGAAAATTATTTTTTGTTCCATTGACCCCATCTGGTACACATGGTTCTCTCAGACATTGAATTGCTGGAAGACATAACATTTATTTCATTGCAACCTGAAAATACTTCCACAGCACAGAGAGCTCTCACTGAGTGGCAGTGGCACCGACCTGTCAGGGTGGCTCCTTGGACTGAGTCGTTGTATAGGGCCCCCCACAAAGAATGCACAGCCATGTACCCTGGGGACCATTGAGCTGAGAGTCCTCTGAATAGGAAGCGGGAGGAAGGTTCCTCTGGGCCCAAACAGGCCGGTGGCTGCCTGATCAGGGTACAATCCGTGCACCCAAAATTGAGGTGCTGTGAGAAGGAGCTTGCCAGCCCCACAAATGTTGTTCCCATCAGAGAAAATAATTTCTTCTGAAACACATCTCCTTCCATTTCTTTATTTTTTATTTTTATTTTTTCCTTCCATTTTTCATAGGAAGCTCAGCTCTGTTATGACCTACGGGCCACGGTGGTGCCTGCAGTCCTCTGTTGACGGAACTGTCACGTGCGTGACACAACGGTACTAACAGTGAAGGACTGAAATCAGGAACACGATGGTCTTGGCCACGGCCGTTAGGTGAGAAAAGGAAATAAAAGGCACCCGCTGTGGAGAGCGGCTACAGCGTTTGGACAGGTTCAAGCCTCGGACTAATGAGAGGGCACAGTCCTCCCAGCACAATTACAGCCAAAGGCTACAGTTGTAAGCTTGACCTTATGGCCCGAGCCTGTGGTCCCACCTGGCGGAGTGACGTGGGCTGCAGGAGGTGCAGCAAGTAAACAGAGCTTGATCAGGTGCATGTAACTGCGTAGATTCGAAACCGGGGGGAACGTTGTAACCACGCCCTTGGTTTGCTTCGTGGAATCTGGCTCTAAAGACTTGGCTTATAGGCTGTGGCACTGTCTCTCCATCAGAGAGGACAGCGTCCCACCCAGCCTCAGCTTTCTTCTCTTGTCTGTCTTTTCTAAATCCTTCACGGCCCCCTCTCAGGCTCACCCATGGCCGTGCTGGCGCAGCACAACCCACATTGGAAAGGAAGAACCAACGCTCTCTCTCTGTGCAGGAGGCATGGCCTTGTATGCAGGAAACCATAAGGAATCCTCCAAAAGGTGATCAGATGTAATAAAAAGTTCAGTAAGGTTCCACGATAAAAAATCAACCGTATGTCTACACACTATTGAACAATCAGAAGGCAAAATAAAATCCACTTAACATCAAAATAAAATACTAATAAATTTAATAATTTATTAAAGTTTATAAATTTTTAATATAAATTTATTCTGAAAACTTTAAAGCATCACTAAAACTAAAGGAGATCTAAATAAACAGAGAGGTACTTGTGTTTATGGACTGGAAGACAGTACTGTAACCATGGCAATACTCTCCAGATGCCCAGCTCACCCTTCAGGACCCCAGGGTCACACAGCCATGGGGCCCACCTCACCAACAGCGGGTGGTGAGGTGCCCTAGCCCCCACCCCCACCCCTCCACCCCCTCGCACATCAACACTTTCAGAAAACAGCCTGGTTTGCTCCATGTTATCATTTCATTGCATCTTGGGCAGGGTGTGCATGGGGGAGTGGGGGTGCACAGGGGCTCCCCGAGGAGGGTGAGGATTGCAGCAACCTCTCCGGCCTGCAGATGGTCAGTGTCCAAGGGCATCCATGATCTGGCTGCCTGAGCAGCCCCCATCCCGAGGAGTGGCTGAGGGCTGCAGGGGGGATTAGGCGTTTCTCTGCTCTGGGGGAAGGTATGCCAGGCCCAGATGTCTGAAGATGTCCTCCTCGGCAGCCGCTTGGAAAAAGGTCTTCTGCAACAGAGTGTGGGCCTTGGTGCTGGGCCCTCCACCATGCGGCTCCCCTCAGGACCCTCTCTGTCGGGTCCAGGACTACCTGTCTTCTGCCCCGGCCACATACCTGCTCCGGGTCAAACAGCCCATAGCTGTTCAGCCACAGACCCCGCTCCTTCCGGCTAAATCTGCGGAGCTCCCGCTCAAAATGCTGGAGGGAAGAGAAGCATCAGCAGGGCCACAGCCCGGCCCCCGGCCCCTGGCCCCTGGCCCCCGGCCCCCAGCCCCACACGCACTGCCTACCTTGGAGCCAGTCCAGCCCAGCAGGGCAAAGGGGAACTGGCTGATGGGGGCGACCACCAGGTCCACACGCACAGCCTTCCAGGAGGGATGGGCACTCCAGGTCCCCCCCTTGGCTGTCCCTGGGGGCCTTGGCAGACGAAATATGCAGAAGCTCTGCTCAAAGGTGTCCATGGAGTGGCCCTTCGGGACCAGGCGGGCAGGGTCTCCACTGGGGCTGCGCTGATGCTGCTGATACAGGACAAGGCCCTGGGGTGGGGGAGGGGCAGGTGTGACCCACTGTCCATGCAGCTGGAGGGCGGGGCCCAGCAGCTCCCTGGAGGGCAGGGAAGCTCTCACCTGCTGCTCCAAATAGTGCATCACCCTGGGCAGCAGCCCCACCTCCTGGCCCTCCTCGGGGTGGGTGATGAGGAAGTCCACGTCATGGCCCTGCAACTTCCCCCTGAGGGTCGGGTCTGACATCCAGGCAGCCCAGGGACAGGGCAGCCCAGGGACAGGGTCTCCCATTCCCTCGAGACCCTTGCGTGTGGGAAGGTCCACCGCAGTGGCCGCCCGGAGCCCAGCCGCATGCACACCACCTTACCTCCGGAAGCCACCAGCCAGTGTGACGGTGGCCCCAGGAAGGGCCCACCCTACGGCCGCCTCCACCACCTGCCGCAGGGCCTCGGCATCTGGCCGCTGGACGGGGCTGCTCAGGTCCTGGTAGTGCTGGAGGCCTGTGGGCACGGTCGGCTGCTCTGACCCACCCACCACCTCTCTACCCTCCTCTCCACCACCCCTCCTCCTTTTCAAACAGCAAACTTTTATTTAGAGATGACTGCAGATTCACGGGCAGTTGAAAGAAATCAGAGGTCCCCTGGGCCCTCCCCCAGCTCCCTGACCTCAATCTTAGACCATAGTGTGCTGACGACACTGGCCTCGGGGTGAGGCGGGGCCGGAGCTGATAAAAGGCACAAGGAAGACGCTCCATCTCTGAGGGGCAAGCACCGTCTCCCCCGTGACTCCCTTGTCCCTCTGCTCTGACCCCACCGGCAGCCTCAGCACTCGGGGTGCGAACCTTCAGGCCCAAGCGGGGGAGCCCACAGTGCGGTCACCTGCTTTCTGCTGCTGGGTCAGTCTCTGCACCTGCTTCCAGACGTCGTCCAGCGTCCGCAGTCCTTCCCGGTACCACTGGTCAGCAGTCCTCACTCCGACCCCGAAGATCCGGGTGAAGAGCTGTTGGGAGGGTGAGGGCAGCCCCGTCAGTGCTGGGTCGCCCCACACCCCGGTCCCCTCCTCCAGGAGAGGTCTCGCCCAGAACCTGCACTGTCACCAGCCACTTTGCAGCGGCTGAAACCCACCACGGCCTTTCTTCTCCTTCACAAGCGCAAACACAAAGGCTGCGGGAGGCAGGGGGCTGGGGGAACACCGACCTGGCCCAGCCAGGGGTCAGCACAGAATCCAGGCCAGTGGGGAGGACCCTACCGGAGCCGACCTCTCCCTGACCCTGGCCCCAGCAAGTCACTGGCCTCTTACAGCTCGCTGGCTGGGTAGGCACCCGCCCTCCCTGGTAATTCCTGGAACTAAACCAGGTCAGGCCACGCAGTGGTGAGCTGCACCGTGGGGCAGGAGCACCTTCTGGGCCACACCTGACCAGTGAGGCACAGGCGGAGGAAGTCCCCAGCCCTGCTTCCTGCAGACCCGCTTCAGCCGGCCCCTCAGGCTGTGCAGACCATCCTTTCCTTGATCCCCTAACCAAAGGCATGCACTGGCTCACTGTCACCAACAGAAACCTCACAGAAAAACAGAGAATAACCTAATCATATTGTTTATAAAATAACTGTTAGCATACTTCCCCGCAGGCTCAGATGCACTCTGGGGTGCCACAGGGAGGCAGACGGCTCTGTCCTCTGTCCACGCTTCCCCACTCACTAGCTCCTACCTGAGCCCCTCCATCCTTCACACGTGGCTCCCCCCTCCTCAAAGCCCCCCTTGGTCCTCATAACATCTGGGCAACCCCAGGGCAGCAATGACCCCGCCTGTCCGGGAAGCCCTACTGCCCACAGGTGGCCCATCTGACCACCTCTGGCCACAAAAGCAGGGCGTCCAAGCAGCAGGAGGGACTCTGGGACACTGACAGCTCCGCATCAGACCAGAGGTGAGGGGCAAAGGGCCGGTGCGCCGTGGACCAGGTGGGACACACCAGGAAATGAAAGTGCGAGCTCGGGACAGAGACAGTCCAGTGAGCCCGCGCTCCTTCGCCCCCTCACGTTCTGCTGAGGGTCACAGAGCCGGCCACATACCGGAGGCCAGTCCGTCAGCAGCCCGACAAGGCCAGGCAGAGCTGGGTGATCGAGAACATTCCTGTGCTCAAAACAAGCTTCTCCCTGTGGTCTGTTTGGCTGCCTCATGCGAATCAGACATCAGCTGCCACTTCCTTAGAGGCCCCCTCTGCCCTGTGGGTGGGTCCCTGGGGAGGACTGGGTGTGCCCCACCGGGGTTGCCCGTGCACCTTCATGCTCTGGTACCGCTCTGAGCGCTGGACTCGCTCCACCTCCTCACACACTCCATGTTCCAGCAGCTCCTGTGGCCGAGACAAAGCAAAGGCCAGCCTGACCACAGGGCAGACCCCACGCTCAGCAGGGGCCATGCGGAGTCAGGATCTGAGGGACTTGCAAATGGAGACTGTGCCCCAGAGCTTCTCCCTCAGATAAGTCGCAGTTTATGTAAATAATTACCTTTAAAACATAGGTGATGACATATGTAATACCCTTTGTAATACTTTAAGCAATAAAAAAAAAATTAAAAACAAAAAACAACAACAAAAAAAAACATAGGTGATGAACTCAAGGCCACTTCATTTAAAAGCAAACTGAATTCAAAAGCCTCTTTTGCCATGATGTCCTCTCCTGTGACGTGCACAAAAGCACGGCTTTCCTCAAACACTGCACTTAGACAGGTGCCCCACTCACGCTGCTCTGCCACATCCTGGACAGTGTGGGCCGATGCCAGCAGTGCCCGAGACCAGCCTGCAGCCCGAGTACTCTCAGCCGCCCTGGGCAGGTGCTGTGGCCCTCGTGTCTGGGTGGAGGGTGGCACACTGGACGGGGAGCCTGCGGCTCCTCCCCACCTGGGCTGCACAGAGCCAGATGCTGTCACCAGGCTCCAGCCTCCCTGGCACCCACCTGCACTCACTGCTCAGTGTGGTGAGCACCTACCTGGATGACCCTGCAGGAGTGTTCTCCGAAATGGGGCAGGCCCTGCAGCTGGCTCAGGGCTGTGACGGGGCAGGGCAGCGCCTTGAGCACGGAGGCTGCTCTGGAGAAGGAAAGGAGGCGGCCCTCGCTGCCTGCAAAGCCCGCGGCTTCTGCCAGCATCTCCAGCGCCTCCTGCAAGGAGGGGCCCTTCGTGAGGGCAGGGTGGGTGGGGAGCCTCACCCATCCCTCCAGCTTCAACCCCCCTGTCCCCGAGGCTGGGACAGAGCAGAGTGGGGAGTGCTCACAGGAGCAGGCCTGGCCCCAGCTCAGGGGGGCTGGATCCCCTGGCTCACCGAGAGGCTGGTGTTGTGGTGTGTGAGGGGCGTGGGACGCTGGCAGGCATAGAGTGGCATCCACACTGGGTTTGGCAGCACCTCCCTCGGCACAGCCACCTAGGGACAAGCAATGCACAGGCCACTTGGAAGCTTCAGGACTGGCAGCCCTCGAAGTCTTGCCTCGCCTGGGCAGTCACCTGGGCTCTCGGGTGCACGGGACAGGAGCCCGCTCTGCGGGGACGAGACTACTGGGGGCTACAAACAAGTGGCCCCGAAGAAACTGAAAGCAGAAGGCGGGATGGCCTGTCATGGCGACCTGGGCAGAGCCCTCACCGCCCACCTCATCTGGACACGCCTGCCCGTCACCTGCCCAGCTCAGCTTCCACTTGCTGGGCCTGTCTCTGTGCCCGACTAATCCTCCACCCAGCTCACCTGCAGGCGGTGCCGGCCCTCCACAGGGACCGGCTGCCCAGCTGCCATGCTCTCTGTGAACCAGCTGATGTCCAGCAGGGTCGGGGGGGTGCCACCTGGGGGCGGGGCCGGCCTGCTCTCCTGCCAGCGGACGGCCTCCTCGGCTGAGGTCTGCTCCATCACCACGTGTGTCACCTCGGAGCTGGGCAGAGGGAAAGAGCCCTTGCCCAGGCCTGCCGCCCTCCGGCTTCACTCCGCACCTGAGCCTCGGCTCAGCCAGGGGAGCGCTGTTCATTCTTCAAGCGTCACCTGGCCAGGTAGGCGGCCCCGCCCCCAGGCAGGCGACCGGCCACGACCCCGCACCTGTAGGCGTCCAGCACGCGGAAGCCCTTGGAGCGCGCCAGGCGCGTGAGGAAGGCCCGGCGGCTGCGGCCCATGCGCGGCTCCGCCAAGTAGATGGCGATGCCGGGGAAGCGCACCGCGGAGGAGACGGCGCAGGGGGTCCCGACCCGCGCCTGCCGCCGTCTCGGGAGCATCGGGCCTGGGCCTCGGGCGGCGCCGGCAGAAGGCAGCGGGCGGCGGGCGGCGGGCGGCGGGCGGGCGGCGGGGGGAAGGAAGGCGGTGGGAACCGACTGGAAGGGGAAGCGGCGCGGGCCTCCACGGAGGGACAGGCTCCGCCCCATGCAAATGAGGGTTCGGTGGGCGCCAGAGGACACGCCTCTATGCAAATAGCACCGTAGGACACGCCTCCTTTCAGGGCGGGGCCGGGCCGGTGACCCGGGAGACCAGGCGGCGCGGGGTCCCGGGGGTCCGGGCAGGGCTCAGCGGAGCCGGAGCCGGGAGCGCCCTGGCGCAGCGGCTGCTTCCAACCGGGAGGTTTTCAGTTGAGTGGCGTTGGGACAGCGGGCGGCCGTCGGGGAGAATGGAAGTCGGGGTCCTCCCTCACTCCTCACACCAAAATAAGATCCAGCTGGATCAAACGAAGAAGGTTCTGGAAAGGGGATGAATGTTTTTATTGTCCAAGTGTCACCATAAACCTGAAACACGGGCAGAAAAGAATGATAGTCTTGACTACATACAAGTTTAAAATTTAAAAGGATCCCAGAGGAAAGTGTCTGTGGCACATTTTGACGTTAAGTCTAATTCATGTAATTATGAAATTGTCCACAGATAAATAAGGAACAGTGATCTAATGGAAAAAATGGCAAGAGCAGCAATAGGCAAGTCACAGAAGAAACGCTGCTCATAAACGTATGCCATGTTGCCTGACCTGTCCAATCATCGGGAAGTGCACACGCAGGCGAGACAAGCCCACCTGCCGCCTTGTCGAGTGTTTAAACACTTAATCACACGTGTTGAAGGTGTGAGGGAATTGGCAATTTGTGGGAGGTCTTTTTGAAAGCCAGTTCGGCAACCATATCCAATTAAAAAAAAAAAAAATCACAGCCAGCAATTCCTCTTCCAAGATTGGGATTTCGCTGAATCTACAGATGGGGTTGGGAAAGCTGACGTCTTGGAGATACTGAGCGTTCCTGTGTCTCTCCTGCTTGAGGCACTGCGTTTTGGAGTCTCTTGGTTAGAGCAGTGTGGCAGACTAGGTGGGAGAGGCCAGATGGGACCCGTCTCAGCCTTCTCCTCCATCACCCCACATGCAGCGGGCACGGGGCTGAGGGAGGCAGGTGCCTCGCCCAGGGCTCAGCCTCCCACACCAGCTCCTAGCCTGCCCTCCTGAGTCCCCGAACACACACCCAGGAGGCTCTGTAAAGGGTGGGAGCCTTGGTCGGTTCCACCCCTCTGGTGGGTTCCACCTCTTTTCAGGGAGCAGCCCTCTATCCCCTGAGAAGACCATTTCCTTTTCTTCTAATGTCCACTGTCTCTGGCCAGGGCACCTGGGTTCTGTCCTGGGGGGCAGAGGCAGCTTTTAATGATCCATCACACGTGAGTATTTAAAGCACTGAGCAACTTGCAAAATTGAGGAACACAGGGCTTCCACAGGTGCAGTGAGGTTCTGTGAGGGTGAGGAGAGCCTCAGTGCCCACTGCGTGGAGGCCTGGGCACCAGCGGGCAAGGTCATGGATGGAATGCTCCTCTCCCTGGACCACCAGGTCATTGTCCAGCCAGATAGGAAGCTAAGACCTCAGGCCCCTATTTCCAAAAACCCTGGCTTGGGGTTCCCAAGTGCCTATGTCCCCAGCCTCCTGCTCCCCACACCAAGACCACCCCCAAAAAATCAGAGAGGGTACCCAGATGAGCTCCTTGCTGGCCCTTCCGACTGCCCTGAGGGTTGCCATCCCCCTCCCTGTCCCATGCTATGCTGTCTCATCCTGTGTTTTGGATTAATTTTACCCACATGTATGAGTTGTATTTTCCAAGATGAATCTGATTCAGCTATTTCCTGTTCCCACGTCCAGCTCCTCGTGGTCCCTGCGGGTCATTTTTCAGAGCTCGTGACCTTCAGGGAGCACCGTCTTTGTGGTTCACATCAGTGCTGTTGGCGCAGCCCTTGGCCTGCGGGGCCTGGACGCTGCCAGGCTCTCGGGCCACCCCTCCAGGTTCCTGTCTTCTGTGGCCTGCTTGCCAGCAGCGTTGCAGTGACACGTGGTCGGACTGCTCATGCTGCTGGATCGAGCTCCTGAGGGCCGCTGCGCCCAGCGTGCTGGCCTCTGGTGCCGGCCGTGCCTTCCTGAGGGATCCCCACATCACTGAGGGCTAGGTTACCTGGTATGTCAGTCAGCTAGGCCGACATAATAAAATACCACGAACCGGTGGCTTTAACAGAAACTTATGTCTCATCGTTTTGGAGACTGGAAGTCTGGGACCAAGGTGCTGGCAAGGCAGTTTCATTCAGAAGCCTCCCCTCTTGGCTTGGAGGTGGCCACCTTCTCTCTCACACGGCCTCTGTGCAGGTGTGGAGACAGAGATCTCTTCCTCTTCTAAGGCCACCAGTCCTATCAAATTAGGCCCCCACCTTTATGACCTCATTTAATCTATTAGCCCCTAGAGCCCCACCTCCAAATATAGTCACATTGAGGTCCAGCATAGGAATTTGGGGGCACACAGGTCAGTCCATAGTACCTGGTGTATTTGTGTCCCAGGGGTGCTATCCAAATTACCACAAACTAGCTGGCTTAAAACAATAGACATTTATTCTCTCCCAGGTCTGGAGGCCAGAGTCTAAGATGAAAGTGTTGAAAGACCTCCCACAAACACTTCCTGCCTCTTCCAGCTTCCGATGGCTCCTGGGGTTCCTGGGCTGTGGCTGAGCCCTCAGTCTCTGCCCCATTTCTAATGGCTGCCTCCTCCGTTTCTTTAAAAAAAATTTTTTTCTCTTTATTGATTTTTAGATAGAGAGGAAGGAAGAGGGATAGAGACATAGAAACATTCATAAGAGAGAATCATCAATCAGCTGCCTCCTGCACACTCCACTGGGGATTGAGCCCGCAACCCGGGCATGTGCCCTGACCAGGAGTCGAACCATGAGCACCTGGTTCATAGGTCAATGCTCAACCACTGAGAAACACTGGCCGGTCCCGTCTCGTTTCTTATAAAGGTACCTGTCATTTGATCTAGGTCCCACCCTAATTCAGGATGACCTCATCTTGAAATTCTTCATTACATGTGCAAAGATCTTTATTCCAAATAAGGTCGAATTCAAGGATCCACATGAACATGAATTTGAGGGGCCACCATTCACCCTGCTACCCTGCTACCCTGACCCAGGTTCAGCTCTGGACTTTGTGGTAGATTACAAATGTCTTTAAGCAAGTGCATATGCACATAACGAGGTCAGTGCTCTCTGCCAGGCACTGTTCTAGGCACTTCCCAGGCATCAGTGAGCTCACTGAGGCCCAGACCATTCCTGTCCATGGATGACATCCATGTTCCCATTGTAATTCACTAGGGAGGAGATGGAGACGCAGAGAGGTCAAGTATCTTGCCTGAGATTGAACAGCAGTGTAATCATGTCTTGGAGCAACACAGCTATGCTCTCCTCTCTCACACAGCACTTCTGACGCTGATGTGCAGGCTTTCCACATGTAACAACTCTGTGCCACCAGCCAGGTGGTAATAAGGGAACCAGTGTGGTTTGGATAGGATATAAATTAAGATAAACTCTGTGGCAGAAATGTTATGATGAAGAATATTTGGAGTAAAATTAGTATAGTGACATATAATTTCATGTCTGGGCTTCTTTGGCCAGGGGGAATTGATTAGCAGTAATTATAAGTGGTAATAAGTGGTTCGTGTTAGTGGGGTGGATAGAGAATGGAAAAAGAATATTGTTGACAGGTCCTACAGTTCTACTCAGTCACTTCACACACACACACACACACACACACACACACACACACTTAGATGCCAACCTTGTGTCCAGGTTGGCACCTGTGCTTCTGACCAACCAGCTATAAATTGGTCGGTTAGAAGCATAGATGAATTTGATAATTTGTTAGAATGGACTCAGGTAAACAGCTTACCTACTAGATTACCAGCTCATTACCAAGGACGCACAAAGACAGCTATATGAGGAGGTAACAGGGCGAGGCCTGGCAGAGTCCTGAGCCCAGAGGTGGCTGTGCCTCCCTCACATAGACGTGTAACAACTCAAAGCTTCCTGAACCCTGTACCTCAAGGATCGTCAGGAGGCTTCATCACACAGGTGGGATCCATCATCAACAGTCTCCCCTCCCGAGGGTGGGGGCAGGGCTGAGGTTCCAAGCTTCACACCGTGGCCTGGTCTTTGGGGTGACCAGCCCCATCCAGGGACCCACCCGGATTCCTCTCATTAGAACAAAGCACACTCCTTTCACCGAGGAAGTCCCAAGGGTTTCCAGAGCTCTGAGCCAGGAACTGGGGCAGAGACAGGTGTGTATGTTTATTTTTTTTAACTAAATCTTTTTTTTTTAAATATATTTTATTGATTTTTTACAGAGAGAAAGGGAGAGAGATAGAGAGTTAGAAACATCGATGAGAGAGAAACATCGATCAGCTGCCTCCTGCACATCTCCTACTGGGGATGTGCCCGCAACCCAGGTACATGCCCTTCACCGGAATCGAACCCGGGACCCTTCAGTCCGCAGGCCGATGCTCTATCCACTGAGCCAAACCGGTATCGGCAACTAAATCTTTATTGTTCAGATTATTACAGTTGTTACTCTTTTTTCCCCCCATAGCTCCCCTCCACCCGGTTCCCACCCCCCCTTCTGCCCTTACCCCCCGCCCCCCCGCACTGTCCTCATCCATAGGTGTACGGTTTTTGTCCTGTGTATGTTTATTATTATCTCACAGATGTGACTCGGTGCTCCTGGTTCCACCACAGACCTCCCATCTATGTGCTTCCGAAACAGCTGGCCGACCGTCTAACAAACTGTTACCTGTTCCTCTGGGGAGTGGGGTGGTCTGAAATGCGGTACAACTTATCGTCAGCATTTCTTATAATACAACTTATCGTCAGCATTTATTATTTTGCCTTTCCGTGTTTTCTAATGTTTCTACAATGAGCACACATCACTTGCATTACAAAGAACTTTGACATAAGAAAAGTGTTCAGTGGGTCCATAGCCAGGAGCTGGAGGAGTCCTGGAGTCGAAGC